AAGTGGTTTCAAGCTGGCTTCATGCCTGTTCGTGCTTCTGCTGTAGGACTGCTGCTGGTGCAACAAAATATCATGAGGGAGCCTCGCAAGAGACTGCTATTTGCAATCTGGGCTGAAGTGCATAGCTGGGGACACAGGAAACACGTTCTCTGCACATTGGAAAGTTCTTTTGGCATCTCCTTGCTGGTCTACAAACATGAACGTACCTGACAGGAAGGAGCCGCGGAAAACAGCCATGACACGAAGTGACCGCTTGAGTAGCCAGAGATTCGACCGTCGGTTTTCTGCACCGAGCAAAATCTGGTCCCAAACGGTGTCTGACGATCGCAAGCCGATGCACTCTCAGATCGATGAGGCAGAGAATCGTCACCGCTCGGACTCCCTGCGTATCATATTCTGAGCCCCTTCCTCAGTGAAGCTGTCGATTGGAAGCAGCGTGCATGTTTGACGGCAACTGAACTCAAGTCCCAGTTTCAAGAGCTTTCACTTGCTGTCAGCAGGAAGCTCGGGGTTTTTGCTGCTTTGCAATGCCAAATCCTGCAGGGAGGAATGTGTTTTGTCTGGCCGGGGACCCTTGACAGTAACACCCAACCGGCTCCTGCAAAGCCTTGGGCCAGTTGCGAAGTGCTCGCTTTCCCTTGATCGTCAACAGAGCAAAATGCTCTTTGGATGTCTTACCCAAAGCCTCTCCAATATCGCCTCAGAACAAACATGGACAGGACATGGAATGACACTGAACACACAGTTTTTTGTCATGGCTACTGCAGCATAAACACCTTCGATGCAGCCAATGCTATCCGCGGCGTCTGGGAACGTGCGGATGTCTTCTGCGATCAAGATCGCGATAAGATGAACCAAATCGTCCCTGGGCTTCAAACTAATGATTCAGACAATCACATTTGCAGTCGCCAAAATCGCAGCACCGAGTAATGCAACCGGGAGTGCTTCTGGAGGCTGGCAGGCAAAGCATCCAAGAGCTTGGGCTCCAAAGTCTTGATCTGCTTGCGAACGGAAAGAGGCACAGCCGAGAAGGGCTCCATTTCCTCGTCTGGCTCCTCAGCCCCACTGCCCGGCGCTTCCTCATCCGGCACCTCGGGCTCGATGTCCGAGGGAGGGAACTCTTCATTCGCCCGTTCTTCTCCTGCAGCACTCGCACCAGGCTCCTTGCTCGCCTTCTGAGCAGATCCTCGCCCCGTGGCATACTTGCCGTGGAAGATGTCAAGATCCTCTGCGTCCGAACCTCCGTCGTCGGAGGAGCCTTCGTCGCTGGACTTCTGGCCCGGACTGTCGGTTGCACCGCGACTGGCACCGGACTTCTTGGCACTGAACTCTAACCTTCGGGGCTTCTGTGCGGACAGGTCCTGGCTGCTGCGGCCTCGCTTCGGTCTGCCGCAGGAAGAGGGGCCCTCCCCGAAGGTCTTGTCTTCGTCGACAGCCAACTCCTTCAAGTCCTTCTTCGCGTCCTGCAAAGGCGATGGGACAAATACCCGTTCAGAAGTACTGACAAGCTGTGCCACGGCAAATTCGGTTTGGTGAGGAACACAGTTTGAGAGGAAACCCAGTTTCGCCACACAATGTGAAAGGCTTCGTACGATGAGTCAGCCGGACAGGCGGTACTGGGGGACAGAAGCTGGGAGCACATGGCTGCTAGCGGCCAGATGTGGCTGCAAGTTCTACCTCTGAACTGCCAGGTCGTTTTCGTTGCATCCATGCGACTCCTTAGCATGCAGTTTGTTCAAAAACCTGTGCAAGCACACACTCGTTGCTGGAAAACCTTCGTGCTCTGCAACTTGAGTCAGAGAGTCTGTACACATGCTTGGCGGTTGTGCTGCGAGCAGCACCCTAGCACTTCGGCTCAGGCGGAGGCTGCGAATGATCAACAGCCCTCGCCGTCGGCACGGGTTTGCGTTGTCGATGCGAGGGTCGGCTGCTTTGCGGCCTGTCCTGAAAGCCACCGATGTGCGAAAAGGGTGGCGGGGCGGGGACCACCCTGACAAAGATCTGCAACTCGCCCTCTGCGATTGGAAAGACACCGAGCTTGTGGAGCGGAATTCCAGAGCCGATGGGCTTCCACACGTCGCCGGCTGGATTCTTCGCGTGGGCTTGAGTCGATGTAGCTTCCGGTGAGGCATTGCTTTGTTCACCACATGGCGATGCTGCGCAATGGCGCTTTGGACCAGGAAGGTCTGCTTCTCGCTCCGGTGCCCCTCTGGTGGTCGCATTGACAGCTGTGTGCAGGCCCAACTGGTCGTAGAAGCACCCAGCCTGTCCAGCGGGCATAACCTGAGGAGGCCGTTGCTGGGTCAAAGCCGCAGCTGCAGCACAAGCCTGACTTTGCACCCTGTGCTCCGGTGATGTAGGAGCTTCTGCACCAAGCGGAGACAACGGCGAAAGCATCGTGCTCACATCTACAGGTCTGAGCGGAGTCACACTCGACCCCCCCTGGTACATGACCTGAGCCATCTGCTCCGCCCTGGTCAAAGCCATCATGGCCCGTGCCATGGCATCATCCCCCATGTTGTCGCACACAAGAAGCCGGCAGCACTAGCTGATGCCGCTAACAACAGACACCTGCAGGCCAAACAACAATACAGGCAAGCAAGCCAACATGCAGAAACTACATCGTGAATGTCGGCCCACTCCCAGGAGTCCAGACTCTGGGCTATATATCATCACTCTGCGAAACCACGAGGATGCTCTATGCTTTGCAGACATCCCCGACAGACTGTGCGGTATTCGTGCCGCAATTATCATGGATAGTTTGAGGCCTGAAGTTCACTTCTTGCCTGCGTTCTGGAGAGTCTTGTTTATACGGGAATGTCATGGACACGTGGGGCGAGAAAAAGCTCAAACAATGAAGAGCGGGGCTTCCCTGTTGGAAAACCGCCCCTGATGCCTTGCAACAGGTTTCTGGTTGGAAAGATCGCGAAAGATGGTTTTGGAGTGATGCCCCTCTGCCTTGAACTATCGCCGGCCCCGTCGCCAAGCTTCCTAAAACAAAGAAACCGGCAAAGCACCGTCCTAGATTTTGCAACCTCCAGCCAGGCACTAGTCGATTCAGGTCCTCCTTCTGGATCGTCAGCACCTTCTGGAATTCCATCCAGTACTGCTTCTTTTTGAAGTTCTTCTTCCTGCAACAATCAGCAGAAACTGCAAAGCTTTTCTACGAAAAGCCGTCGCAGGTGCAACCGCTTCTCTTGAGAGCCTGCGATACGTTTCGCAACTGGCACGGAGCAGGGCCGGCACATCCGTCAGGAGGCGGGCCGTCGAGATCTTCACCGCGTTCAGGCTCTTGCCCGTCACTGGCAAAACACATGTCATCTCTCTGCAAGTGCCGGTTCTGAGAAAGTAGCTAGATACAGCATCTGCCCCGACTGCACAAACGTTGCTGCAGCCCAGGCACACTTCAACACAAGAGCTGCGAGCCGGGATTTCCACCGAGTGGCCAGGGCTTTCGCCTCCGATGCTTCGCAGACAACAGTAAAACGAAGCAGGCCCAGAGCTAAGTCACAACCCCAACAGTTGGGTCAAGATCCCAATAGGTTTAGCAGCAGTAGCCACAAAACTGCCGCCAACAAGCAGGCTACGGATCACAACAACAGCCTGCTGGAGCGAGCTGGACTCCTTGTCCTTGCTTTTCGATCGCTTGTGTCTGGCAGCAGCCTCGACCATGAGGCTCTCCTGAGCTATGGTGGGCACCAAAACTTGGAATATGCACAAGAGGCGAACAACTGCGGGAAGCAGTCTGCTCAGCAGCACCAAGCGGAAACACTGCAGCCAGGTGCGGACGAGCGTCAGCCTCTCCGCCCGTGGCCAGAAGCTCGGTTGGGGAAATGCGGCCGGAAGTGGCCGCCATGCTAAAAGCGAGTTGTCGCACCTTGAGATCATTCAGAGTAATCTGCTCACGGCCTCTGGTGAGATCCCGTGCACTCAGGCCGAAGATCTTCTGCACATCCTCTACATCGGGCGTAGCGTCAATGGACTCCTCAGAAGATTCTTCTGTCGACTCACCTGAGCGCAAATCTACCGGAAAGGTCCGCCCGAGTACGGGGATGAATTTCTTGCTGACACATTTCTGAAACGGGTCGAGTTTCTCTTCTTGTTCCTCTTCTTGGCCTTCTTCCGGGCATCCTTTGGTCTGCCCTCGTTCTCAACGTCGCCTCTTTGTTGCACATCAACAGATTCAGACGAAGACTGCTGCTCGTGTTTACGGTGAACATCCAGGACCTGACCTGCTTTTGCGATGCCACACTACACTACAGATTGTGCGAGCCTGCTGACAAGGCCCGCAGCAGGCGGGAGTGAGCTGACGAAAAGAGGAAGGCAGCTGCAGCCTGGCCCTCCGTCTCCGGAGCCTCTTCCTGAAGCTTGCTGCTGGAAAAGCTCCTGCCAGCGTCTCAAAAGCTTCAGCAAACATGATAAATGCAATTGGGTTAATTAGGCGAATCAAGAAAGATAATAAGCGATCCTCGTTGGAGCTTTTGAAGGGCCCATGCTTCGCAAGGGAACAGCCGAGCAAGGGTCCAGCACAGCGGCTTGCAAACTCCCGTGCTGCAAGCTTCGGAAACAGCCGATATGGAGTATGGCGTGCATCCAGAAATATTCGAAAAATGACGGAAGAAAGCAGTTGCCCACACACTGACAAGCCTTCAACTCGCGCCCTCATAGGCAAGCCTGTCTCCCCCCGACAGACTTGTTTAAAGGACACACCAACAAGCAGCTGCTGCGGGTCTTCTGCAAGAAGCTTACCAAACTCGCTTTGGGACGTCGGTCTAGTTTAGAGCTGTTTCTCGACAAAGGACGAAGTTTCTGAGGCCCTATCAAAGCTGAAAGAGCTATTCGCGGAATTCCGGATTTGGTCAGGGACGAATAACAGCACAAACAAATTTAGATATTCAGGACTGGTGGGGAGGACGAACCCTTGTGACACCTCAAAGTTTACGCCCCAATGCCTTCGCCCACACATGCTACAACGAAATACAGAAGCACCGATGTCGATTTCATGGCTTTGATTAAACCTTCAACAAAAACAGCATCAAGCTTCTGGACAAAATTTGATTTGTGATCAACAGAACGTGCCCAACATCGCAGATACAACTCGTGTATCCTGAAGCACGAACTTTAAGTGAAACCCACCGTCCGTTGAACTGAACCCCAAGTAGACTTGCAACCACAAACTCGTAGCACGACCATACTTCCAATCTGATGACATACTCTGCTACACTGAACTGCAACCCGAAGGCCAAACTTTCTGCGAAATCTGGCTAAGTCTTGATGACCGAACCGGGCAGTGAGCGACACTTTAGCGTGAAGTAGCGTGACGGCCGACGACTTAACTGAGGACCAACGAAGCCCTGTTTTCACATACACAACTTTCCTCGCTTGCTTCCTAGAAGCTCTCTGCATGCAGGCTACTTGCACTCGCGTTAACATATTACAAGTCATAAGTCATCAAGTGCTCTATGCCCCTGACAATCAGCAAACCATAGTTGGGCAGTTACACTTTCCGCCCAACTGGAAGACTCGAGACTGTCTTTCCCGCCTAGTTTCAACGGTTCCAGAGATCCACCTCCCAATCATGCGAATGCGGCAGCCTGCTTCCGAGCAATGGCGTGTAATCACACACCAGGCTGGTGCAAACTGGCAAGCAAGCAGACCTAAGCAGTCTTGCCTTCCGGGCCCCGGTGACAAAACAACAGCTGAACGTATTCCTAGGGTCCTGAAGCTCATTGCCTGTTTAGGAGACACTCAGCAACCTTAGCCAGAAGGCACAGTACCCAAAACCTCGCCCAAGAACACAGAAATGTTCCTCACTCGGGGTTGCTTGCATCGGAGCACGGCATCGGCTCGTCATCCGAAGGGTAGCCCTCGGCCGCACAAGTCTTAGGGGATTTAGGCATGAGCTTGGATGGGGGGTTGACCAACCTTTTGTGCAACTATCATTCATCGAGCTGAATTTGCAGCACCCGACATTGAGTCGCTTGCTCGAAACAGAAACACACATACACACATTCAGACAAACGAGCACAACTAGTGTTCTTACTGGACCAGGTTATTTATCACCAAGACACCAGAATCTCCCAGTCAGCATAATCATGTCCATGGTCAGCAGGCTGTTCATCGGCAGCCGACGGCCGTGATGCCATCTTAGATACACGTCAGGAGGTCTCAGGGCCCTGTGTCATCCTAGAGCCGCAGAGAAAACAGCTTGACTCCGGATGCACTCATCCACACCACCTGGAATCTTTCGCAAAACGAAACCACGGAGCCTTAAGCCGACAGCCTTTGACCCTAAACCCTAAACC